AAAATGAAACTTCGTCCAAAATTCGAATCAAATTCGAAAACTAAATCTAATTCAAAAACAAGAATAGACTAAAACAGAATAGAAATTAAAAAAATAGAATAGAAAATAAAAGAATTGAACAGACTAGAACAGAATATAAAAGAATACAATAAAACAGAATAGAATAGAAAAAAAGAAAGAAATAGAATAAAATAGATAGAATATTAAGAAATAGAATAAAATAGAATTGAAAATAAAGGAATAGAAAAGAATAGAATAGAAAAGAATAGAGTAAAACAGAACATAATGGAATAGAAGTAAAAGACTAGAATAAAATAGAATAGAAAATAAAGTAATAAAATAGCATAGAATAGAAAAGAATAGACTAGGATAGAAAATAATGGCATAGAGTAAAACAGGATAGAATAAAAATAGAACAGAATAAAAGAAAATATAGCTGCCTTCTTAAATTCAAATTTTGAAAAGAATAGAATGGAATAAACAGAATAGAATAGAGCAAAATAATAGAATAGAAAATAAAAGAACAGAATAAAATAGAATAAAAAACAAAGGAATAGAATAGAAAATAATAAAATAGAATAGAAAGAATATAACTGTCTTCCGAAATTCGTATTTCGAATAGAATAAATTTGAATTTGAATGCCAATTCGATACTTTTCAACTTTGATTAAAATTTTCAGAATTCGGTCAAATTGAATTCAATTCAGTCAAGTTTGAAAAATTCTAATCAAATTCGAAAACAGATAAATGAAACGAAACTAAATAAGTTCCAAAAACTAATTTAACAAATTTAACTAAAACAAAATTTTTAAAATAACGGATCGAATTGAAACAAAACAAATGTTTGCACATATCTAGATTCTCCTTTAAACTCATTCAACACGAAACGGGCAATTTTCTTTCCTGCAACCATAGGAAATTGCTTAATGTATAGCCGGCCCTAAGGTTATGTATATTTTTTTAATCAGCCCCTTTGTCTGTATTACGTTTCTTATTTATTAATGAGGAGCTAATTGGCACACAGTTATTGGATGACAAAACAATGCCTGGGCCAAAGGATAAAAAAAGTAGAACAAATACAGCGATAATAGCGTGACAGCTGCGGCTCTGTATTATGAGATTTTACTGTTATGGAATGACAATACGCATCATTGCCACATTAACAAGAACAAAGCTCCACAAGTGCAACAACCTCATTATTGCGCTGAGTGTTTGTTTGACTTGCTTTGTCACCATTTAGTTAATGTCCAGCCTTGCTGAGTGTCATTAGAGAGATATACACAATGGATAATACCCGCCAACCACCCTGGATAATACCCTATCATCTGCATGAGAGCGGAGGTTTAATATGTCGCCCTCCTAAGTGACTAATGGGCACGTGGCCACCAGCTCAGATACAAAGCACGCGGCTGCGCTGAAATGTCAAGGCGCTAATAATGATTTTCTTCTCAGACAAATTACTCCATTTGTGATAATGTAGGTTTTTAGAGAGCACAGGCTGAATGAGAATATCAAAGGAGGCAGTAGCGTCCGAGACATAATAAGGTCAATAGGAATGTTAATGCATATGGAAATACTAAAGAAAAAATAGATATGCAATACATTTCTGCTGTAAATGTGTATTTCCCCATGGTGTGTCTTTTTAAAATTGCTGCAAGTACAGAAAATTGTAGCTTTGGCCAGAAAACTGGCAAGCTACTTACCTCCTGTAGTGAACTGACAATGTTGACTCTGCTGCACTGAAATCCCAAGCAGTGTTGTTAGCCCTGCCTACTAATTATTTGCAGGACTACAGCATACCCTATCCTAGCCTCATCTCCATAACATAAGGGGAGGTGTCATGTAGCCAAAAGGGAAGAATTCAGGCAGTGGGCCAAACCTTAATGACTAGGGGAGGATCTGCCAAGAGGAGTGGGGCAAAATCCCTCCTGAGATGTGTGCAAACTTGGTGGCCAACTACATGGAAACGTCTGACCTCTGTGATTGCCAACAAGGGATTTGCCACCAAGTACTAAGTCATGTTTTGTGAGGGGGATCAAATACTTATTTCCCTCATGAACTTGCAAATCAGTGCATCATTTGTTAGACGTGCATTTCTTTTGAATTTTTTGTTGCTATTCTGTCTCTCGGTGTTACAATACACCTACCATTCAATTTTTAGACTGAGCATTTCTTTGTGAGTGGGCAAACATTCAAAATCAGCAATGGATCAAATACTTATTTCCTTCACTGTAGATGCTCAGTGGATTGTAGGCAGATCAACAGGTTATTTTCTGTACTTTATGGATACTATTGAAAAAAATCACATATATATCCTTACCTACTATCTTTCATTAAAACCCAACAGAATCTCACATCTTTTTTCTCTTTATAGAGCTCTGCAGGAGCATATCAGTGTGATTTTGCCAGGCTTATGCAGGCCATACATGGGTCGAATTCCAAACAAATGTTCTTTAAAAAATTGGAAATTTTGTGCGATTTGTAATCCGATAGTGCCACCATTGATTTCGAAATTCGACCAACCGAGCCTTCCATTTCACCTCATGTTGCTACAGAAAAGAATTTTCGTGGCCAAGAATTTTATTTTCTTTCTAGATCACAGCTCATGCTCATTTCTTTCTCGTTTATATTTCCCACATGATTCTCCCCTCATTGATTGAAAATTCATTCCTTTTTCAAAAAACTTCCAACATGCCCGATCACTGAAATTCGATGGTCACACAAAAATCGGGCATTTCTGTGACCCACTAATGGTGCGAAATTCTAACTCTAGACAACTGGTGACAAGTTATCTTGGAAGTAGGTTTTGCCAGCTTGATGGATTTGGTGTTGAAATGGGAATCCATATCTGTTTCTTCAGAGCCTTGTGCCATAAAGAGGGATGCCTGTGTGCATGCGCAGGAGTGACGTCATCGCGTCATCCATTCATACCGCCAAAGCACACAAAGCCAGAATGAGGACTGGGTGAAGATGGAGGCGCCTACAGCTGGAGGGCTTCATTTTCAGGTAAGTCTGTCATAATGTGCTAGTATGCGGTGCTTACTAGCATATTATACATTAAACTGCCCGGGGCCCAATTTTTTTTTTTTTTTTGCTGAAGTTTACTGCCACTTTAATAATTCAGTAAAAGTGACTTTGACTGTGGGGAGTAGGCCCGCTGTGCCTGTTGCCTCAGAGAGTCCTCATATTCTATTGCTATTACGGTGACACCAGTTTTCAAAATTGTCATGCAGTAAGAACAAAGATTGCAGCTGAGCCTCCTGTTTTGCAATTGTATTTTGTTATTAATTGGTTTGGGCTTTGAGGTCACTACAAGTTTCTGTCAATTTAGTTGTTTCAGTGATTATTATTTTAATTATCTCGATACTGTATATGTACATTTTGATGAGGATATTACTTTTTCATGAACTAATATTTTTTTTTAGTAACAGAATGGATACTAAGAATACTGATATAAAGAATATATGGGACTTATTTTAGGTCTCATGTGTATTCATAGTTGTTATTCAAATCAATTTTAATTCATAATCCTATACATACAGTATAATACAACACAGCAGATCAGCTGCTTTCTCATATATATGTATGTGCATGGGGCTTTGGTGTGGCCATGGTGCAGAGGGATCAAACTGTTTTCTTCGATTTTATGTTTTTCTCTTTCAAATAGTCAATAGTGGAAAATGATCATTACTGTATTGCTTATCCTCAGAGGGGCCACTGGAAGCAAGCCAAGTCTTCCTTACGTGCCCAGAAGCTGACAGCTAGGTAGCAGCTTCAGAACACCCAACATAATTTAGGCTCCGTATAGGGGTGTCTTTTTTGAAAATGTATTGCCATACTTGAACAAAGGAGGGTAGCGGGATGAGAGTGTAGGATACTCCAAAAACACATGCAGGTATCAGAGATCAATTTTGCATAGAAGGTTCTGTTCCGGCAGTATTTGGTCCAGGGGCAGACTGACCATTTGGAAACTCGGGCACTGCCCAAGGGCCCAGGGTCAGTAGGGGGCCCCATGAGATGCCCCTGGTACCTTTTTCATAGGCTTTTTTGAGTTTGTGAAGGACTCAGGGGCCCCATGATCCTCTATTGCCCCTCATGGGGCCCCATGAGTTGTCAGTCTGCCCCTAATTTGGTCCTTCAATAGCAGCAATCAGTAATGTTGGAAGTAGAGTGGACAGCCAGCTTATCTGAGACTGCAGGCAGTCACAGTCCTTGCAGCAACCTCTGATGTCATGGTACTTGCACACTTGGAGGTCTAGGCAAAAGGTGTTACTCACAATGTCCAATGGGGGAGGAAACTCCCTCTCCAGCTTCTCTGCAACACTTCCCAATGAAAGATTTCCCTGTCCAGTGCAGCTTCCACAGGTGATGTCTTCCTGCACGTTTCTTTAAACCCAGGTTCCTCCAGGCACATGCTGAGGCCTAAAAGCAACAGCTCAACACATAGGCTGCCTCCCAGGGGGGAGAGTCTCCAAAATATTTGTCTTCTCCCCAATCACACCTTCTGAGGTGGTTTGAATCAGAGAAAGAGCTCAGTCCTGTGATGGTGAATGTGAACAATAATAGCTAGGCCTCTCTTAGCAACATCCTTAGCAATATCCAGGGAGTATTCCAGTCAGGCTTCATGATGCATGTAAAAGGCCTACACCTATATTGTTCAACTTTGGGCAAAGCTGTACAGTTTGTTTTTATCTACAGACACCCCTCACCTATATAGACAGTTTTTGGTAAAGATGAACTATATCTTTAAATTAAACACATGATCCCTGTAAACTGTAGCTTTGTATCCTGAATCTATTCACACAGCTGACATTTTTGATACCCTATCAGTAATATATAGACTTAATATGAAAATAAAATCAATGATTCTGGTATGATTATATGTTATGTAGATAATAGTTTATTTCTTAGGTGTTATGGAAGCAAAATGACAAGTCTTTTGTACACGTCCGTATTCTGGTGTACAATGCCAAATCAATAGTTATTTGTTAATCGTTTTCTTAGCTTTTTTTGCCTGTTGAGTTTGGGGTCACCGGGTCAGTGAAGCGAGGTTTCTTTTTTTTCACTAACGGGTTGTCAATATTCTTCCATTTATTCAGCTTGCTCCTTTCGGCTTGACACATGTTGACACAAGAACTGCACAAATCTTTCTCGCTCACAAGATGAAAACTTTGAGTACGTTGGATGGCCTCATGTTGTTCTGCCTCCATTTCTTCTTTTGTTGGCAATATAGGATTTCTCTCAGTGTTTAATTTCTTTAATTTTGGCAATTCAAGGATGCCAGGGGGCACTTTAGTAAGCTTGTTGTCAAAAAGGCCTACCTCTTCGAGATCTTTAAGAGCACCTATTGTAGTTGGTAGAACTTTAATAGAGTTAAGACCAAGATTAAGTTGACGAAGTTTCTTCAGCTGGTTTAACTCCACAGGGAGACCTTTTTCTGTGAGTTTGTTATTACTAACATTGAGAAACAGTAAATTTTGAAGCTGTCCTATAGATTCTGGAAGTTTCTCAATCTGATTGCTATGCAGGTCTAATAAGCGAAGATCCTGAAATTTCTCTATCCATTCAGGCACTTTCTTTATTGAATTTCTACTAAGATCCAGCTCTGCCACATCACAGAGATTCAACAAGCATTTAGGAAAGGCTAAAAGTCTCCTCTTAGATAGATCCAGCCTTTTCCTGCCATCAATTGTAATCTTGATGGTGTTCTTAGCAGCCGTTAGGGTTAATTTTTTACCCTTGGGGGCATGTTTCTTTCTTGGCATTGTCCTGATAAAAGTGAAAAAGGGAAACCAAAAACACTGAAAACATCTAGAATTATCTAGAATAGCAGTTCATTAAAATGAAACTCAACTTTGCAATAGCTTTTATGGGTCTGCTTAGTTTTTACACTGTTAAAGGGTTAGTTCACCCTTATCAAAAACTGCCTATGCAGATAAAGGTTGTCTGTAGATAAAAACAAACTCAGCAGCTCTGATTTAAGTTGAATAATGCCCTTGCTATGGGTGTAGGCCATTTACATACCTCATGAAACTTCACATGAATACTCCTAGTATGTTGCTAAGTGTGGCCTAGTCGTTACTGCTCACATCCACCATCATAGGAGTAAGCTCTTTCTCTACATCAAGCCCCCTCACATGCTCTTTCTATCCCTTGATGCAGTAGCTCTGAGCTTAGCGTTTCAGAGCTCACTTCTGTGATGAGGGGGAGCAGTAACAACTTAGCAATGTCCTGGGAGTATTCATGCCAGGCTTCATGAGGTACGTAGATGGCAGGGATGGACTGACCATTCGAGCACTCAGGCAGTGCCCGAGGGCCCGGGGTCAGTAGGGGGCCCCATGAGATGCCCCTGGTACCTTTCATAGGCTTTTTTGAGTGTGGTTTGAGTGTGGGCGAGGACACAGGGGCCCCATGATCCCCTATTGCCCAGGGGCCTCATGAGTTGTCAGTCCACCCCTGGTAGATGGTCTACACCTATAGCATTTGCATTATTCAACTTTACTCAGAGTTGTATTGTTTGTTTTTAACTACAGATGCCCCTTATCTTATCTGTATAGGTAGTTTTTTGGTAAAGGTGAACTAACCCTTTAAGCAGCTCATACCTAAATCATTTTTTTTTTACTCAGTCAGTGGGTTGAATGTAAAAATCGGACTCGATTCCCCCAATCACGCATTCAGTGTGGATGGAGGAATCCTCCTGCTGGTCTATTGTGTTCTGGCTACAGCCTGCAGTGTTGATTGAGTGACAAAAATCCAACAGGTTGGTTGTCCACAAAATCAATTGGTAGATCGACTTATGTACAACAACTCTGCCCATACATGGTTTGAAACTTGGCCTGTCCCTTCTGAATTGGCTACATTTCGATCCATGTATGGTTGGCTTTAGTGACAACACTATTCATTCCAAACTCTGCTAATTACTGTATTTTTCACTCCATAAGATGCACTTTATTCCACCCAAAAAAATGGGGGAAAATGTCTCTGCATCTTATGGAGCGAATATGGAGCTGACCGCCACCGCTGTGTTGGAATACGGGGCCGGCCGCTCGGCTCTTCTGTGCAGCAGAACTGCTGCTTTTCGGTCCTACCTGTTCCTCGGTCCAGCGATATCCTCGCCGTCTTCTCTCCGTGGCGCCGGCATCTTTAGTGTGAGCACCCAGCTGTGACAGCTTGCGGCTGCACAGCAGGATGCCCGCTGCACATGCCCAAGAATTGCTGCACTTTGTCAATGGTCTGGCAGTCTTCTGGGACCTGTCACGTGTCCCAGAAAACGGGAAGAGAGGACAACTCTGCGGAAGTGGGAGTACCTGTCAAATTTGGGTACCCGCTCCCCCCCCTTCCACTCCCCAAAGGTCTGCAGTCTCTGGTCATCTCCTATAGTATGTCTGCAGTCTCTGTTCATCTCCTGTACTATGTCTGCAGTCTCTGGTCTTCTGTAGTATGTCCGCAGTCTCTGGTCATCTCTTGTACTGTGTTCACAGTCTCTGGTCATCTCCTGTAGTATGTCTGCAGTCTCTGGTCATCTCTTGTAGTATGTCTGCAGTCTCTGGTCATCTCCTGTACTATGTCTGCAGTCTCTGGTCATCTCCTGTACTATGTCCGCAGTCTCTGGTCATCTCCTGTAGTATGTCTGCAGTCTCTGGTCATCTCCTGTACTGTGTCCGCAGTCTCTGGTCATCTCCTGTACTGTGTCCGCAGTCTCTGGTCATCATCTCCTGTAGTACGTCCGCAGTCTCTGGTCATCTCCTGTAGTATGTCTTCAGTCTCTGGTCATCTCCTGTACTGTGTCCGCAGTCTCTGGTCATCTCCTCTAGTACGTCCGCAGTCTCTGGTCATCTCCTGTAGTATGTCCTCATTCGTCTCTGGTCATCTCCTGTAGTACGTCCGCAGTCTCTGGTCATCTCCTGTAGTATGTCCTCAGTCTCTGGTCATCTCCTGTACTGTGTCCGCAGTCTCTGGTCATCTCCTCTAGTACGTCCGCAGTCTCTGGTCATCTCCTGTAGTATGTCCTCAGTCTCTGGTCATCTCCTGTAGTATGTCCTCAGTCTCTGGTCATCTCCTGTACTGTGTCCGCAGTCTCTGGTCATCTCCTCTAGTACGTCCGCAGTCTCTGGTCATCTCCTGTAGTATGTCCTCAGTCTCCGGTCATCTCCTGTAGTATGTCCGCAGTCTCTGGTCATCTCCTGTAGTACATCCTCAGTCTCTGGTCATCTCCTGTAGTATGTCTGCAGTCTCTGGCCATCTCCTGTACTATGTCTGCAGTCTCTGGTCATCTCATGTACTATGTCCGCAGTCTCTGGTCATCTCTTGTACTGTGTTCACAGTCTCTGGTCATCTCCTGTAGTATGTCTGCAGTCTCTGGTCATCTCTTGTAGTATGTCTGCAGTCTCTGGTCATCTCTTGTAGTATGTCTGCAGTCTCTGGTCATCTCCTGTACTATGTCTGCAGTCTCTGGTCATCTTCTGTACTATGTCCGCAGTCTCTGGTCATCTCCTGTAGTATGTCTGCAGTGTCTGGTCATCTCCTGTACTATGTCCACAGTCTCTGGTCATCTTCTGTACTATGTCCGCAGTCTCTGGTCATCTCCTGTAGTATGTCCGCAGTACTGGTCATCTCCTGTAGTACATCCACAGTCTCTGGTCATCCCCTGTACTGTGTTCGCAGTCTCTGGTCATCTCCTGTACTGTGTCCACAGTCTCTGGTCATCTCCTGTAGTACGTCCGCAGTCTCTGGTCATCTCCTGTAGTATGCACTCAGTCTCTAGTCATCTCCTGTACTGTGTCCGCAGTCTCTGGTCATCTCCTCTAGTATGTCCGCAGTCTCTGGTCATCTCCTGTAGTATGTCCTCAGTCTCTGGTCATCTCCTGTAGTACGTCCGCAGTCTCTGGTCATCTCCTGCAGTACGTCCGCAGTCTCTGGTCATCTCCTGTAGTATGTCTGCAGTCTCTGGTCATCTCCTGTACTATGTCTGCAGTCTCTGGTCATCTCCTGTACTATGTCTTCAGTCTCTGTTCATCTCCTGTAGTATGTCCTCAGTCTCTGGTCATCTCCTGTACTATGTCTGCAGTCTCTGGTCATCTCCTGTACTATGTCTGCAGTCTCTGTTCATTTCCGGTAGTATGTCCTCAGTCTCTGGTCATCTCCTGTAGTATGTCCGCAGTCTCTGGTCATCTCCTGTACTATGTCCTCAGTCTCTGGGCCATCTCCAGCACTATGTCCGCAGTCTCTGTTCATCTCCTGTAGCATGTCCTCAGTCTCTGGTCATCTCCTGTACTATGTTTGCAGTCCATTGGTTCAGAATGTTTTTTTTCTTGTTTTCCTCCTCTAAAACCTAGGGGCGTCTTATGGAGTGAAAAATACGGTATCTGAATTCCTTTTCTGCAAATACAGTTTGTATTTATGTAGTAAATATAGATCACTAATTCTCCCAACTCTTTTAAAGCACACTTCACCTCTATCCTTAGAGGTGCACAAATATAAACATAAATATGCTCAGTGAAAATTAATAAAAGAAAGGGTTTCTTTTATTAATTTTCACTGAGCATCTTTATGTTTATTTAAGTTTGTATTTATGCTCTGCTAAAGGCTTACCTTTCCAGTAAACCTGAACTAAATGTTCCTGTTCCTATCCCTTACAGCCAAGTAAGGTGCCCCCTTAGCCTCTGGTTAGATTTGCAGTTGCCGTGGAGCTGCACACGTGACCAGCTAGGACACCAGCCATTTGACGATTTGAATGTTTGGTTGAGAGCCAACACAAGCACACAACCAACTGTGACAGTTATGACCAGAGGCATGCCTTGAGTGTAACTGTCTTTACCAGTTTAAATTAGTGGCTTTAGTTCCCATGCAGCCTAGGTCCACACTTGTGGGAGTGTTCACAAAATTGCGCGCGTTCCCGATCCAAAGGCAAAACGTGCTGATCTATAGTGGCACCATGTGACTTAGTGTGGCGTGATTTTAAAAAAGAGACAGGGGCTTCTTTCCCTGCTTTTCTGCAGGTAGGACAGCCCACTGAAATGAATGGACTGCCGGCCGACAGAACGCAGGTCACACGAGTGTGAAGGACTTGTTTACGTCAGTCTGCAATCTAAAATGCCAGCAGGCTGGTGTCTATTGTGAGAGAGACAGTGATGGCGCTTTATGTCAATGAAACACTAGGCACTGTTTACCTTTTTTATTTATTTTTTTACTTTATTTTGAAGTGTCTCAAAATGACAGTGAAATGTAGTGAGTTGCGCTGTACAAAAAGGCAGACATGTTCCATTTTTATGTAGCACACCCCTCTGCACCAAAGAATTATGGGGTCAACAAGGATCAGCGAAAACAACTGTTTGTGTCCTAGCTTTGAGTCTGCATTGAGTAGTGAACATTCCACAGGCCAACACAGAGAGGTGTTATCAATCCTTAACCACTCACCCTCCTGGCCAGGCCATCTTTGGCGTTATGGCGCTGTGTTACTTTAACTGACAATTGAGCAGTCATGCAATGCTGCACCCAAATGAAATTTACATCCTTTTTTCCCCACTAATAGAGATTTCTTTCAGTGGTATTTGATCGCCTGTGCATGTGTTTTATTTTCTGCACTATAAAAAAGAAAGTCTGACAATTTTGAGAAAAAAACAATATTTTTGACTTTTTGCTATTAAACATGTCCAGTAAAAAAAAGTATAAAATCCAATTTCGTCATAAATTTATGCCAAAATGTATTCTGCTACATGTCTTTGCTAAAGAAAAATACCCAATACATGTAAATTAATTGGTTATC